CATCTAGCTTGTGGAAATAGCGGCGCAAGGCCATCACCAGCTCCAGCTGTTGGCCAGCGATGGTGAGATCCTCTCTTCTGAAGCTGAACAACACAGTCGTGACTGATGATATCTCTCAGAAGCCACATTTTAACAGCTCTCCGATGACTCTAATGTTGGCAGGTCACTGCTGACAGATATTTTATTTTTATTCTGATATAGCTGCAGAGAAAGATCATATTTCTTACACCTCCAGTACCAGTACTGCTGCTGCTTCTTCTCCTGTAAGTCGCCAACTTTGCAGTGAATTTCCTCAAATTCCCTCTGGCAACATCTGAGGAGCAGTGTGAGGAACGTGACTGAGGACTTCTCCGTAGTTGGCGCGATCACATGGAATAAACAAAAGTTGAAATGTTTGAAAAAACATTAATATTAATTATTATTAAAATAACCAGTTAATATCAACAGGATCATTTCATTCTTCACAAACAGCCCATGTCATCTGGGAATAATTCGATGCTGCTCCTGGTTAAGTCAAAATATAGTAGTAGTGTTAATTTTGTAGCTTTATTAGTTATTGGTGTATTCAAGGCTGAGGTAGCATTTTTTCTTTCCTCCCAACAAACTAATTTGCATAGTTGTGTACAAGTATAACGCTTGATTCTTTCATCCAATTCCATAGTGATCATTTGATTTCTATGGTTGTCTTCTTTAAAGCATTATGCATATTTAAGCCATATGCTCAACACCTTTATGTAGGCGGGGATGCTCTACATTTTCAATGGTGAGTGTTTTTAAAGGAACTCTCTTGTGCAGGTCAAAAGGACTTTGAAATTCAGTGTTTAACCAGTATCTATGGAAAGAACCGAAGGGTTTAGTGAAAACACACCAATGCTCCATGGAGCTGAACAGCAGTCAGGTGAAACAATAAATATCTGTGGGCTTGTCACTAAAAGTGACTCCTTTTACAGTATTAAGTGTATTTCTGTTCATTGTTCGTGTAAGACTTGTCTTTGCCTCTACAGGAGCTGCTTTCAGACATGCAGTGAACTCCGTACAATCTACTGACATTCTCTGGAAGAGCTGCATGTGTGAATGCAAATGTCTGAGTGACACCCTCTGGATTCTCTGGCCTCACCTCGTGTTAAAAGTACAGCATGTCTGAAGGACCCAATGTGAGAACAAGGAAATCCTCCATAGGATTCACTGCGAGCAAGTGGCTGTTATTGAGGTTTCTAACATGCAAAAAAAAAAGTAATATCACGGCATGAAAAGCTGAGCCACACATGTAGAAGACACTGCCGAAAATATCAAGACAGCTTTTGGCGATATGGGCCAAAGCTGGTGCCAATGTGCAGTAAAAAAAAAAAAGCAATCACAACCATAACCACTGTTGTTGTAACCATGACAACAAACATGCTTTAATCAGAAGGAAGTACTTACTTTGAGTCACACCACGATCTTTTCCTAAACCTGACAAAGCCGTTTTTGTAAACAAACCAAGAAAAGTTCTTGAGGCTTAACTGCAGAGTACTGCTGCTGGTCCACTAAGCGTGTTTATTATTGTAACCAACTATTTAGGGAGATGCTCCAATGGGTTGTATATGTGGGTATGGACAAATTACCTACATGGTCACTCCGGTTGGAGGAATTCAAAGATGTACCCACAATTAAACTGTAACATCTAAATCTGCCACCAAATTGCATTAGACATGGAATTTGCAAAATTGTGAGTGAATTGATCACAACATGTCAAGTTGAACATTAATAATATTACGGTTTGATATAAGTTTGTATGATGCATTTAATTTACTGTGTTTTATTGTGGAGTTTACAAAGTGCTTTGACAACAAAGCAAGAAAGTAAATATAAGATAAATAACAATCAGCAGGATGGGTTTCAAGAAGTGAGTCACTGACTCTGCAAGCCTTATCTCCTCAGGTAGGCCATTCCAAAGCCGAGGGGTATGATGGCATAAGCATGGTCCCCACAAAGATAATGTGGAGTCTCTTATCTCTCTCATTCTGCAGATATCTCTGACTCCAAAGCTGCAGGATCCAGATCTGGCAATAATAATAGTGCTGTAATAGTCATCTTTAAGTAATGTATCTTCCTTACAACTAGGCGAATTTAGTATTTTATCTTTTTTTAAATCTCGCCCATAATGGCTTCCACACCAAACCTACTATATCTAAAGCACTGTGGAAATGAGAACATAAGTTGTGAGGTTGTTTTGTCCAACTGACTCAGTCACTGTCAATAACAGTCACTGACGTAAGGTCAGCCATACAGTCCTGTAAAAGCAGTTTAGATAAATGAGTTTGAGAAAATTAAAATATTTTATCTTGTATATTTGTTGTAATGTATTTTCACAAACTTAATTTGTGATAATTGCTTTATTCACAAATATTTCATCATAGTTGTATTTTACAGAACTCCTCCACCCCATTTACAACATACTAGCAGTGGGCGTCGATTTGTCCATTTTTAATGGTCGAAATACCTCCCAAAGCAAATCAAGACATTGTGTTCTAAGAATGTTCCGTAATCAGGCCAAACACAAATCGTTTCTGAAATTAGTGGGAGACATGTTTACCATTTAATTACTTCCTTGCCCATTTTCATGGGTGGATCAAAAGCTAATTTCTTACCACAAATGGGTCATGAACATTAGGCTTTTTTTATTAAGACAATTTATTAAGCCTCTGCTCATCCAACTGATCTATTCTGGTATTGCGAAGGCGTCCTTTTATTCTATAAGTGGGGTGGTTCCTGAGTGCAAAACAAATGGGAAAACGCAATGGAAAAACAAACAACCATTCAAAAAAACACAGCAACATAAAGAGATTTTGGCAAGATTTGAGCTGTTGTGTTTTCTTATTTGCCTTTGTGATATGTTGTATTTTTTGTTTTCATGATTTGCAGTCTAGGACCACCATATAAAAAGGTGCTTGGTGTCATCCTCTATGACTGTTACACCCCACGATTATGTGGCCCTATGAGATGAACGACATGTAAAATCACTGACTACCACTGATACAAACAAAGATCAGAAAGCCTTTAAAACAGCAGAACCATGAGATTCATTATCATCAAACAACACACACAATGTTAAAGCCCCGTGCTGAGGCCCAGCAGTCCCCACACTGGAAGCCTRCTGATCCTGACACAGGAGTTTTTAAAGAGCCTCAGTCCACTGGCCAGGTGCACCTCATTGAGGACTGATCGGTTAATCAGGGTGGAGCGAGAGGCGAGACAAGAGAAACACAGGG